GGGAGGGCCCGCCTCCCCGCAAGGCATTCTGGGAGCTGTAGTTCTCTGCCGGGGGAGGCGGGCAGCACGGCTCCGCCATCACCCAAACCGCTCCCAACACCGAAGCCTTCTGAAAACCATAGCCGGGGATGGAGCTCAGCGCACCGGCCTTGTAGTGCAAGGGCTTCTGGTGCAAGGAAAAGGCCTCAGGGAGGCTGGGGCTGCTTCTCCAGGCACCCCTCCTGGTCCGGTTCCCTCCTAGGCATCGCACGGCCCCATCCAGCGTAGGCCAGGGCTGTACCGGCACCGGGACTGCAAGTACAGATGAGCCGGGGCAGTGACCAGAGGAGAGCAGCTCCCTCTTCAAAACACACAGCCCTTCACTGCTGCCTTCCAAACGCTGCCACCAAGCCCAGACTGAGCCAGCCTTGACTCCCACTACGGTCCGCTACCATCACGCTCATCGTGCCAGTAGGGCCACAGGCAGCAGTCGTGCTGACACAACACCCCTCCTTCCCACTACAGCCGTCCAGCACAGCCCCCCTTCTCTCTCTCTCTCGGGGTTCTCCAGTCCTCTCCTGGCGTTCCCCAGCTACACGGCTTCTTACCCAAATTCAGAGCTCCCACTCTCTTCCTGCATGCATGACCACGCCTGAGAGGTAAGCAACTCTAACCTTGCACTCCCTTGAACCCAGCAAAGTTTAACTCATCAAAAAAGCCCTGCCAGATAACCAAGCCGACTGAGGGAGTTGTTGCTAAACTCTCAAACGTGTCTGAGGTACTGATTAACTTCACCCGTCCTGGATTTGCCTTTGCACCCATTCTGTTCATGTTAAGGGTGCTGCAAGGTTTGGGTGGCAAATTCGTCCTGCTGCAGAAGTGAGGGGAGGGCAGGAGGTTTCCCTACCAGCTCTCTGCTTACCCCTCTTCAAGAAAATAATGGGGTACCATTGCAAAACATATCAATTAACCTTTGTGTGAGCAAATGCTGTTTGCTAAACTGGTCATCTTCCCACCGATCATTTTTAAGTGCTTTTTATATAAATCTGGAAATAACATAGCTTAGTTATTATTCATAATTTTTCCTTTCAGTTTATAACAACATGAAAGATTCTGAGACTATTTTTTCCACTTTTACCTCAGAGCTTCTCCACCTTACTCCGAAGCTCAAATATTTTGTTTTCTGAAAAGTTATCCTGAAAGAAAACTGCTCTCTGCTGCTTTTCCAGTAATTTCTCTACACAAGAAAAAAAAGTTACAGACATTGTTAAAATGAAAAAAGAAATTAAAAGACTAATAGGAAAACATAAAGGAAGCAATACACAATTAATTTAATTGCGTTGACCACGGTACAGAACAGAGAGAAAAGAAGATGTGTGCCCGAGGGACAGAGGCTGCATGGCTCAATCTCTGCCTCAGTTGCCAGGTCACCCTCTCTTGGTGTCATTGTAGACTGTGAAAATACCTGCTAGCTCAGAAGAGTTGGTTCATCTGGCCTTTCCCCTTGTCCTGAGGGTCTCCTGTTGTGTCCTCAGAAAAATTATCTGAGCATCCATGTCTCCAACCACAATGAAATTTGAGGCTGTTTTCAGTTGTTACTGTGGTGTTGGAGTTGTTTGCACCAGGCTTGCCTCCCGCAGTCCTGGCCAAGGTGTAAGACAGAGCACATCAATGATCAAGAGAGAAGTCCTAAGGAATCTGGCTAGCACGTTGAGGAGCTAGTTCTCTGTTGAACACTGAGGAGCTCCAATGACTCAGCACAGGAAAAGGTCACGACATTTGGCTTTACAAGTAATGAAAGAAAAAAACCCCAAACAACCCACAACCCAAAGCAGTGAATCATTAACTAGACAGTTATGACAAAGCAGCACAACTCAACAGATAAACCCATCAGCTTCCTTCAAAAGCATCTTCAAGCTACCAAAGGAGACGACTCTTTCACAGTCCGTACTGTGGCTGCAGGAAGATGGCTTTGAGGCTTTGCTGTGCCTGGATTTTTGTCCTCTTCCTCCTCCCTGGCCTCTCAGATGGAGGGAAACTCCTGGTGGTACCCATGGATGGAAGCCACTGGCTTAGCATGCGGGCAGTGGTTGAAAAGCTCACCGAGAGAGGACATGAAGTGGTGGTACTTATACCAGAAGTAAGCTGGCAGATGAAGACAACAGAGGCATACACCGTGAAAACATACCCGGTGTCTTACACATTAGAACAGCTGGATAATGCCTTTCACGAGTACGTTGCTGCTCACCTGAAGGACCTGCCTTTCCCGCTGAACGCTCTTGCACTGTACAACAGCTCAGTGCATGTTTTCCAGATGTTCTACCTTCAGTGCAAGAACCTGTTCAGCAGCAAGGAGACCCTGCAGTACTTGAATCAAAGCAACTTCGATGCTGTCCTAACAGACCCCGTTTTCATGTGCGGAGTGACAGTCGCTAATTATTTTTCTCTTCCCTTTGTGTTCTTCATGAGGGGATTTCCTTGCAACTTACACTACGAAGCACCGCAGTGCCCAAGCCCTCTGTCCTACACCCCGAGACTATTTACCTTCAACTCAGACCACATGACTTTTTTCCAGAGAGTGGAAAATGCTCTGGTTGCCCTCCTGGAGCTTGTGTACTGTAATGGTTTCTATGCAGACGCAATAAAGTTTTCCTCCGAAGTTCTTCAGAGAGATGTAACCCTGCTAGACCTTGTGAACTCTGCTTCTATTTGGCTTCTGAGATTTGATTTTGTGTTTGAGTACGTCAGACCAGTGATGCCCAACATGGTCTTTATTGGAGGTATAAACTGCGCTCAGAAGAAACCACTGTCTAAGGTATGGTCTTTTTCCTCCAAATTATGTATTTTCCAATGAAATGTGATTATGTCATTTCTGAAAGTTTAGTGCTATTGTTTGCTTTTTTTATTTCTGGTAATGATTTACAACAACTAGGTTTTCACAGTTGTTTTCCATAAGCTGAAATCAAATTACCTTGATGGAGGCAGATGACTTATTTGCATTAATGAGGATCTTCTGACAAGTCCAACAACAACAACAAAAAGCACTTTATCTGCCAGCTACAAATTACCATCCTCAGTGACAGTATGTTATTTACCCACCAGATGCAGTTTTGATTTAATTTTCCTGGAGCCCAACATATATTTCTTTCACCTCACCAGAAACTCAAAGACCATGCTCTGAGAGTTGTCTTTCAACTCTAGGCTCAAAGTCAGTTAATTTGTTTTGGTTGTGGTGACATATGGTTTCCAAACTGGCCATCTATGTTAAGTTATTTCTGTTTGCAGATCATGGTGAAACATAAATGTCATGCTGAAATGGGAAGAATTAATCTAAAATAGTGTATTTGGTGAAAGACACTTCTATGCAAAACTCAGATGTTTTCACATCTATTTCTTGACATTTGCTTTTACCAGAATTGTTCTGCAGGTTTTTTAAAGCTAATCTAGAAATTGAAATCTATTTTGATAGTTACCATATCATCTCTAAAACAATTAATAGCACTAGACATTTCTTTCCAGGCACAAAGCAGGACACAAATCTCTTTCCTATGAAGTAACTCCCTCGCTTCTGAATTGTGCTCACATAATTTCACTGCAGAATAGCAGTACAAGACCTTTGAGCTGAAGGATTGTTTGGGGTTTTTTTCTTTTTTTTCAGATTTATTTTATACTCTTTGACAGGCTTATGCAGAGTCCACTGAACTTAAGAATAAGGCAAATAAAAAATAATATTATAAATTAGAATAATATTATAAATAAGGCATTCTCTCACATTAGGCTCCAGAGAGCAGCACTTAATACATTGAGATTGAAGAGGCAAATCCTTGCTGGTTTTATGGCATAAGTCTTTACATCTGTATCCTGACAGTCTCAGACTGCAAGTAGTTTGTAGCTTGCTACAAGGGTAGAGCCATCCTGCCCTCGTTTTAGTCTTGGCATCTCCCATCTTCACACTGACATTTGTCATTTCGGGGAAATCACACATTCCAAACCTTGAAAAACCTTTTATATCTTCAATCTGCCTTTTCTAGCTACATTTTCAACAGGGAGCACAGGAGTTTCTCCTATTTCACTTTGAACAGCGCCCAGCAGCAAGGCAATAATGTAGTGGAAAGTAAACAAATGTTAAATGATTCATATGGGAGGAAAAAAAAAATACCTCCCTATCCATACACAGTAGTAAACCCTGGGTTGATCATTACTGTTCAGAAATAAAATCGTATGATAAGAACGGGTAGTTCTGCGAAACCCGGTAGCCCATTGCTCAACAGACAAGAAAACAAAAAGTTAGGATGACTAAGCAGAGGTCCTGCGCCAACTCACCCTCTAATGACTCCAGAAGAGCCTGAAGGCTGGCACAGTAAGCGGTCCCTCATTAGGGGAGCATTGCAAAACGAAGTCGGACTTCGAGCCGTGAGACACTTTGATAAACATCTCCTCTTTAGCCAAAGTTAATGCAAAGTTGCTTTTTGTTGGGCAGCTCGTAAAAACAAAGTTTGTATGATTTGATCAAAGTAAAGATCAGAAATGTAAGCTACAGCAGCCTTTCAAAGTTGTGGGTTTTTTTCCAAACTCATTTAATCAAGTGGTTAACTTAAAACATTAAAATTCAAGTAGGTAGTTAAGTAAAGGACAAGTATAACTGAATAAAGACCTTGTGATTTGTCCCTCCAGCACAAGGTTTAAGAAAACAGGTCCTGTTCTGAAACCCTCCTGCCAGAGCCAGAGGCATCTGGGAAGCTCTGATAAGGAGACATTTCTAACTGGTCCTTTGAAACGTGCAATTAAAGTGGAATTCAAAGACTTTGTCAAGAAGCCAGAGCATACAGTAAGCAGCACTAAAGCACGCACACATCCCTGGCACACACGCTTTCTCAAAAAGCCCGCACAACCCAAACGTCACTTTGTGTAACCTCAGAAAGGCTCCTGTCATGTCTGCAGGTACTGTCCATTCGCTAACGTGGGCAGCTAAGATCAGCACAGCTATAGGGGAACTCTTCATTTTCAGCACTGAAGCAGTAGTCATCACTGTTCATTAACCAGGTTACTTTTTTGGTGCGATATTCAGGGTGTTGATGAACCTACTGACAGTTCAGAGCAGCCCGATATCACGTCAGCACCTGGTTGTTATTCTTTTGTAAAGAATATTGAGCGCCTTTAAAGCCAACAATCCCATTCATCTGCCTTATATTGCAAGGGCAAAATACACAACATCAGGAAAGTAAAAGCAGCACTGATTTTGAAAAAGGAAGTTTAACCGTCATGCATTGTACATCTTCAGTGCACGGTATGTATCAACCTAAACGGCTGCTGTAACCACACAGTTCATCTCACAATCCTCTTCAGTCTGCTCTTGTCCGCATCCCTGTGCCTCCTGTATTTTGAAAAAGAGATATTGAAGGAAGCTGTAAAACAGTTCTTTCGACAAAAATTCCCTCATATCAAATGGAACTACTGCCTTAGTTTCCCTTTCTGTGGGAAGTTTGTCTTCTGGTTAAATTAAAACACCTTCTGTAATGCAAGTCTAAAGGTACAGTATTTGACAGATGTCTATGCACAAAAATCTAGAAAGGCTATAAGAGCATGAAATGTACAAATATCAAACATTGCCCTACAACAGTTAGGAAATGTTCCAATTACAGTTACCTGGGCAGCCTTAAGTGTCACCTGTCTTTCTGTTAAGATGCAGCCATTAATTTCAGGATCACATACAATTCACTTTCATATGATTTCTATTCACTGCTGAGGAAAGAGCTGCCCTAGAAGTGATCTGTATTTTGCGATTTGCTTACCTGCCTGCTGCTTCTTGCTACTGCAAAGACTTAGAGTAAGGTTACTTTCCAACTTGCAGTCAATTTTGTCATCAGTTTTATGGGTTGTTTTTCCTCTGAAGTCAGCTAGCCAAACTACACACTGTCTTACCCAGTGCAGGCGAACGCCAGTATGACTCCACAGCTATGTAAAATGTAAGGAGGGAATCAGGCAGGTTCACATCAGCAGCTACCAACCTGCATCCTTTTGTCTGACACTGTGTAGCATTTAAAAAAAAAAAAAAGGAGTAGGTTCAATTACACAAGGATTCCTCCATATATAAGCCTGTTCCATCATCCAAAAACCTGGTAAATCAAATTTCATCATTACTCATGCATTTGAGCAACCTGTTCCTGCTTACAAGACCCAGAGCATAAGGGGGTGAATAATCTCATCTAACGAGAGGAAAACAAATCCAGTAGAGGAAACCAACACTTCCAGGCTGCATCAAAAAAAATTTGGGTTTAGTTCTAGTTTTAGTGCTACTAATACAAGTAGCAGCTGAGGTATCCATTCGCTACCCTCTTCCCTTACTGCCACTCACTGTTTGCTGCTCAGATTAGAAGAAATCCACACATCACAACCAGTCCAACTCAAAGATAAGCAGTTTCCAAGAGTTTTAGTACCTTTTCCAGCTGAAGCAATCATAGGGTGAGGGGTAAGCACACCTACACCCAAACCCCTCAATATAGTTATGGCTGAAGGTCCAAGCAGTCTCAATGCACCTCACCTGCAAAAAGAAACAGCCTGGAGTAACCCACACCAGTCTTATGGTGAGAAGATACTCCTAGAAGGAAAAGTAACCTGCTGTCTTGAGTCACCCAAGCTTCAGCTTTGTTGACCATGAAATGTCTGCCCTTCAGTATCCAGTGGGGATGCCTTTCCTCCCAGATGCCAGGAGCTAGCATGTAGTACTCACTCTTTGAAACCTCTGCTCCTCAAACCATTCGGTGGTTCTCCACTGCACATAAAATAGGAGTGGTAACGAGCACCACACCCTTCAAACCCAAAAGGTCCAGGTGCTCTTCGCTACTGGATAATGAACAACAAACACATGTAAACCTTACCATGTTATTTTGAAAAATGAGCCAGTCTGTTAATTTTCTGAATAATAATTACCCCGCTTAGATCTGACTTCAGCTGATTCTGTGCTATCCTTTCTTTGTTTTCTGTTTACCTCTAATTTATCTTTTCTTTTCTTTCTTAATTCTGTCCTTCCTGTTGCTGCTCCACCTTTTCTGCAGTTTTTGCTCTCATGGTCTGGTACAAAAAGTAGGGAGTCTTTTGAGTCCGTAAGAAAGTGTAGCCATACTAGCAAGAGACTCGTCCTCATACAGAGACTGGAAGATGAACTTTGTATTGGCTGTTCTCCATGTCTAAAGGTGGTTCCTCCACATCAGCATGACAGTGTGGAGGTACGCAGAGTGGTGCTACCACCCTTTGGGGGTCTACTGAGACAAACCCCATTGCCTAAGGCTGTAAGGGTTTGTTTCTCCATACTGAAGATGCTGGAAATCCCACAGCTGCTTATGAAAGGAAGGAACAGGAAAAACTTTGTGCTGCTGATAGTTTTAGACCAGTTCTTTTCTTTACTAGTTTTAGACCAGCTCTTTTCTTCACAAGGACCTCTTCCTTAGCACACCAGCCAAAAGACTTTGGTCTGGCATTGGTTTTACTTGCATAAAGAGCAAACATGCCTCCAGCAAAGCCCTGAGGGCCTTGGTTCACTGCAGTTTTCCAGACCATAGCAGCAAATGCCAGCAAACAAGGGGTCACACTACCCTAGTAGAGCTTTCTTTGGAAACCCAAGCTGGGGTATTACCACCTATTTTTTTTATAACAGCCCAACAATCAGTTCCTCCCTCAGCAAACATGTACTCTAGGGACAGCTTGTGCTTCCCTGTGACTGGATTCAAACCTCCAGGTCCAACTACAAAATTCCTGGCTAATTTGATTAAGAGCGGATCTTTCTTCTCATCAAAGTTGAGCTGTTGCTCAAAAGGGAACATGGAAAGGAAAGTTTGCAGCTCTGTCAGGGCTTGTAGCTGAAGAGGTCTGGGAGACACCTGTATGTGGTTGCTTATGTTACCACCTGTATCTGTGAAAGGAGGAGAGCTCAGAAGCCTAGTTGGCTTGTTGGGGTTTTGTCTGTATGTGTTATCAGTGGAATTAGTAAAAGATATCATATCTCCTCCTAAATTTTGTCTTGCTTACAATATATAAAAAGGGTTTTCAGGACAGTCACCAAAGACCAAGGCTCCTTCTTTGTGTCCCAAAAGGTCTACCCCAGCCTCCTTTCCCTTCACTTGCCCTGAACCTATCATTTAGTTCTTTTTTTTTTTTTTTTTTTTTTTTCCTTCTTTCTAGTACCATGGGGAGAAAAGCCAAACAGGATTGTTGTTCTCCTCAGTTTTGGGATTGCACGGTACATCCCGGTAGCTGTGAGATACTCATAGGACATGCAGGTTTGACAGCTTTGAGGATGTGGGAATTTAACATTGACCTGCTACGTACTGGTTAGGTGTTCTCAGGCTAGTCCATAAAATAAATGATGTTGCCATTTCCATTCATTCTGCTGGGTGTATTTTAAAGGTTGCTTCTTGAAAGCAAAACCAGGCTTATTTTGTCACTGAGTACTTACCAAGTCTGGTATTAACCACAATTATTGTTACAACATGACGTCCCTGGTCGTCTTAGTTTCATGAAGAAAGGAATGTGCTGACATACTCCCAAGCTTAAAAATTAACAAAAAGTGCAGAGGGGAAATCTTTTTTTCAAGAGCAGTGTGCTCCCCTTCCCTGTTATACAAGCAATTCCAATACTGAAGGATAACCACAACAATATTGGAAAGTTAAATATTTATTTCTGTAGTCAGTAAGTTCCCTGCAGAAAAGTTAAAGTTTGCATGGACCTTCATACCTTCATATAAAGGACTGTGTCGGATGCCTCCAGAGCGGAACTCTCCGGTTTACTTCCACCGAAATGGCTCTTCCGTTTGAGTGTTTTTATCAACGTACTTGGATATTTCTTCTTCTGACGTCATCTTTAATCTTTGCTGAAGGTGGTAAGATCCTGGTGATACCTCAGGATGGAAGTCACTGGCTCAGCATGCGCCCAGTGTTGGGGAAACTCCAGCAAAATGGGCATGAAGTTGTTGTTGGTTGTACCGTCAACAAGTTTGTATATGAAGCCGAAGGAGCTTCAGAATTATACAGTGAAAGTATATCCAATACCTTACGCAGAGGACTATTTAGCTGTTGTGCTCAAGTCATTTGTTAATGCTCATTTTATTGAACAATCTGTTTTGAATATTATTATTACAATGTATAGAAGCATGTTAGAAATTTCCAAGTACTTTTTCAGCAACTGTAAGAGCCTTTTGCACAAGAAAGACATGATACAGTATTTGAGAGAGAGCAAATTTGATGTGGTTTTCACGGATCCAATTCTGATGTGCGGACCGATAACTGCTGAGTATCTTTCAATTCCTTCCGTCTACTTTTTGCGAGGATTTCCTTGTGGCATGGATTCTGAAGCTACCCAGTGTCCAAACCCTCCTTCCTATGTCCCCTGACTCTTCCTAAATAATTCAGATAGCATGACATTTACTCAACGCGTGAAGAACATGCTGGTTCGTATGCTGGAGTTTGTTTACTGTAAGCCCATATTCACCCAATTTGAAGAACTTGCATACGTTTTTTTGCAAAAGAAAGTGACAGCTACAGACCTCCTAAGCCGTGGATCTGTTTGGCTAATGAGATACGATTTTGTGTTTGAGTTCCCGACACCAGTGATGCCAAACATGGTTTTTATTGGAGGGATAAACTGTGATCAGAAGAAAAAACTGCCTCAGGTACAAAATTTTGTTTTGTTTTTATTGAAAAGAAAATAAATGTCTAAAGCATCCTAACTGACAACACCTTGGTATTTAAAGATAGCTAATGAGAAATCCTGCATGATGCAGAAATGTCATTTCCTAGTATGCAACCTTCTTTCAGAGGTTATTTAATTAGGTTTTAAGCTTTTCTAGGCATGGATGTCTTCTGTAAAATCCCATTCAGGTTTTTGGGTACCAACCAGGTCTCTGAATCGAGTACAGCATATTCTATAGCAGATCGAAAGCAGGAAAAGTATATTCAAGTATTGCAAATACTTGAATACCCCTGAGTACCCCTGAAACAGAGTAGTGTAGAAGAAACCCCTAATATCCTCCCCTTTTGTCCAGATAAGTATGTTTAGTGTTTGTGTTGGAAGCGGCAGAGCAAATCCTCTTACCAGAACAGTCTCTAGTGCCACTCGGTTCACTCTAGCTGGTTATGTATGTTCGAATGAAGGAAAAGGAGCAGCAGTTGCTCACAAGGGGTCTTTCAAAAGGACATGGAGTCAAGAGCGGGAAAGATTTCTGATCAGATATTCAAGTGAGACGTGCATGACTGTCTGTATTCATCTGTCACTCTAGCTTGAAAGCATCTTCTTCTAGTGTTCATTTGACAGCCTTTTCAGAGGTTCTGAGCAACAGGTCTGTTTCTGTGCATCCCCTTCTTCTGAGCTCTTTGAAAATTCCCATGTTGTAAACTACCGATATGGGGCCAGTGCAGGTGGTGGAGCTGGCTGCTGTTTTTGGAGGGCAGATTCTCAATAAGGTCAAAGCTTTCCCACAAGGCTTGAAAATAAGCATGCAGAAACTACACGTGAAAGAAAGCTCCACCAGTGATATAGAGCCCTGCACGCCCAGGAGGAGCAAATACTATCTCAAAGGCACCTGCCCAGCCACCTACTTACAAACTTTTATGGTGAGAGGCTATCACAAACATTTAAAACCCCAAGAGTTTACAACAGAGAAGGATCTGGACCCAGAGAGTTCATGAACTGTTTCAGTTATGAACTAAACTGACATGGGCCAGGAACTCGTGAGTTCATGAATTAGAAACGCATTGGTTTACGTTATCTGAGGTACAATGGTGAACTGCTGTTTTGCAACTTAGTTTTACACCCAGTAGGACAAAAGGTTAGATGGAAGTTATATGTAGAGATGGTGAAAGATTTTCTGTTGGCTACTTATCTTCAAAAAACCACATATTTGCATCAATGAAAAAAGAATTCATTTTTCTCAGTTGTACCAATTGGTTTTGGTTATTAAAAAAAAAAAGGGAAAAAACAAACCCCTGGTACTTTAACATTGATTTGTCATATTTATAGAATCACAGAATGGTTTGGGTTGGAAGGGACCTTAAAGATCATCTAGTTCCAACCCCTGCCATGGGCAGGGACACCCTCCACTAGCCCAGGTTGCCCAAAGCCCCATCCAACCCGGCCTTGAACACTGCCAGGGAGCCAGGGGCAGCCACAGCTTCTCTGGGCACCCTGTGCCAGGGCCTCAGCACCCTCACAGGGAAGGATTTCTGCCTCCCATCCCATCTCCATCTCCCCTCCTGCAGCTTCAGGCCATTCCCCTTGGCCTGTCACTCCCTGCCCTTGGCACCAGCCCCTCTCCAGCTTTTCTGCAGCCCCTTCAGGGACTGGAAGGGGCTCTAAGGTCTCCCTGGAGCCTTCTCTTCTCCAGGCTGAACAACCCCAACTCTCTCAGCCTGTCTTCATTGTTATCTTTACTACAGGTTATGTTTCACTGTACAACTTGCCTCAGCTTCATTAGGGGGAAAAAAAAAAAGTATTTATAAAAAATACCATGTTACTACACTCTATGGCAAGTCTGACAGCCTTCAGTGGCACAGAGAACTCCAGCACTAGATGGAAAAGAGTAATTTTGGTGTGCTCTTCACAGACCCAGTACTACCATGTGGGGTAATCCCAGCAGTGTTTCTGTTCATCCACTCTGTGGATGCATTTCTTTCATGGATTCCCATGTACCTCAGAGCATATTGTCAGTAAATGTCTGTAAAGGAGGTTGACGGTAAGAAGTGTCATGCGGTCCTACTATGGGGAGAAGGCTGAGACATTGACCTGTAGTCTCAGCTTGGGCAAGCAAAGTGTGTCATAGGAGACACACTTTTCTTGTGTTAGCATTAGTGCAAACCTGCTTTTGAAGTACAAACCTCATCTCAACCTTTTATAATCATTAATCACCTACCATGACTCCATTGCATGCAAACTTGTGAACAACTGAAATGCCAACCAAGTCAAAAGGGCAGAGGTATCATGACAAAGCATTGCCAAGTGGTGTGTTTGCATAGGTGGAGCATAGCTACAAAAGCTTGCAAACCACCCCGGCCTCTCTCGTGCATGGGTTCCTGTCTGTCCAACTCGCAACATGCTGGCGGCAGTGCTGCTCCTCTTCTTGTGCTGCCTGAGTCCTGCCGCTGCCGGGAAACTGCTGGTGATCCCGATGGAGGGCAGCCACTGGCTCAGCATGAAAGAAGTGCTGGCAGAACTAAGCAAGAGAGGGCATGAAATAGTTGTTATTGCACCGGAGAGCAAAATGATGATAGATTCCTCGGTGATATATGACTTGAAAACGTATCCTGTACCTTTCAAAAAGGGGGAGATGGAAGAACTAATGCACTCACTTGTTGCAAACTGTTTCAGCGAAGAACCTTTCATGACCAGATTTTTTAATACCTGGAATAATTTCAGACAGAGCTCTGCCATGTTTCAAGCTTCCTGCAGTTCCTTACTGTACAACAAAGAGATGATGAAATACATTGAAGAAAGTAAATTTGATGCCGTCTTTACAGATCCTCTGACACCTTGTGGACAGATAATTGCTTTGCACTTTTCTATCCCTACTGTTTTCTTCTTGCGGGGCGTCCCGTGTGCTATAGACATTCACGCTGCTCAGAGCCCAGACCTACCATCCTACGTCCCACGAATGTTCTCACTCAATACAGATCATATGACGTTTCCTGAGAGAGTGAAGAACTTCCTGATCAGCATTTCAGAGTCTTTCACCTGCAGTATTATCTTTTCATCATTTGAAAGCCTGGCCTCAGAATTTCTCCAAAAGCCGATGACACTTACGCAGCTTTTAAGTCACGGATCCATTTGGCTGAAGAGACTTGACTTTGTCTTTGACTATCCCATGCCATTGATGCCCAATATGATTTTCATTGGAGGCATAAACTGTGGAGAGAAGAAATCATTATCTCAGGTTAGTGATTGGCTGGGAAAAGTATAATAAGGGAAAAGTTCTGGCAGTTGTACACCTGCACAATCTGGGTGAGGTCTAATAGCGTGTTTGATAAGTCCGTTTCTTATCTAAAGAAGTAATTTTGATTAACGCTTTCCGTATAGCAAATCCACATGAAAAACAGAGTGGTATAGCAGACCAGGAGAACCAGATGTGATTCCACCTCATTTCCTTGGGTCTGCCCAACACAGGGATTTTGTTCGGTGAGAGGATCACATGCTATGTGGTGTTTAATTCTAGCTGAAGTCAGGTACACAAACACCACCTTGCCCAGGAATTCATGCAAAAAGGGTAGGTGAATTATAACAGCTCTTCCAAAAATTCTGTGCCCCACATAAAGAGGCAGTAGAGTATTTCTTCAGGAGTTGCTTATCCAGTCAGAAAAGTAACTCACTGGGTTATGTGCAATAGCATCATGTGCTCTTTTCTGTAGCAGCAGTCTCGTGTTTGTGTTGCAGGCTAATATATCTAATAAAAGATTTTGGGTTTAAAAACGGCTTCCATCACAAAAACTAGACAGCTGAATTCTCAACTGCATTTTTAGGAGACATCCAGTTTGGATAGGGAAATGTTAATGGGTGGACGCTTGGGGATCTGTGGTCTAAAAAGTACTTGATGAACAAGGCATGCATGTGGTGTATGTTAGCTTGTTGGTGCTCATGATGTACTTGGTGCTGCATGTGATGTATATTCTTGTTTGCTTCTGCTGTAAGAACAGCCTCATGTAAAGCCAGAGACAAAGTGGAAAAAGGAGAGAGAGGACACAGCTCTCCTCAGCAGATGATGAATCTGTAGTTAGTGTCATCCAGCCGTTTCAACAGTAAATCACAGTGTTTCCTAGAAAAGGATAAAGTTTTATCCTTTGTGAACAACATTTCCTAAAAATAAACAGATTCTCCTCTATTCTTCCCTTGAACTTTTTTCACTTGCCAGCCTTCCCTGAGTCTTAGGGAATGGAGTTGTCCTGCCTATCACCACTCTTACTCTTCCCCCAAATTTGAAGCTTCACAAGAAAACAGATTTGCATTTTACAAGCCTGGCACATCTTCCCCAGAGCCAACCTTAACTGCTCTCAGGCTTTGCTTTACTCCTCCTGATGCTGCCCATTGAAAGTACTGTTTATTTCTGTTGACCTGCTAGTGTTCCTATCTTGTTTTTTTCGTGAAAGTCTCTTTCAGATTGCTTGTCAACCCCTCCCACCCACGGCCACTTTTATCAGAGTAGTGCTTTTTCCTATCTGTTCTGTCCATCAGAGCTGCTTAATGGCTCCTCAGTTGGCAGATCCTCTGGGAAGGCAGCACCCTGCTTGGAGGCGAGGCCATATGGCAGCTCCAGGTTAAAATCAGACTTTCCTCTGAAGACAAAGCTCACTCTCATCTTGCTCAGGGACTAAAGATCATAGTCCAGCAGCAATATTTATTGCCAAAGGACTGGTTCTTCAGTCCTGATTTCTTCTTGTCTTCCGACTATGCCTCTGCATCACACAGTTACATCTAACGGCAAAATATAATCCTGAAGGTTGATAAGTTTATCACAAGTACTTGTTAACTGCTCAGACATGGTATCTCACGTTTAGTTTTTCATCTGAAGTAATAATGCCACATCTTACCATTTAAAATCAGTTCCTGGCCTGAAACAAGAGGGCTGTTACTGGCTACTTCTGTCCAGGCTTTCCTGTATTTAATTAGGTACAAGGAGAACTGAGTGGCTTTTCCTTCCTATTGCTCCTTGAAGAAGAAAATGATTGAGAGAGGCACAGAGAGATAGGTCAGGACGAGAACAAAGCGTTATTATGCATGACAGCATGGATTCGGTGGTTTTCCTTCGCCGATGCAAGCGTCTGCTGCAATGTTGCTTATTGTAATAAATTTGTACCTGGTGTTGTACCTGGCCCCAGTGCTGAGCTGTATGTAAATCACAAGGCTCCTCCTTAGGATTTGCATAGATATCGCACTGTATAGTGGCATAATTTTGTATTTTAAACATAAACTCAACAAGCATTTCAGAACAGCCATAAAATGCTTATCAAAAAGAAAGAAGAAAAGCAAGAAAGCATTTTAACACCTGCTTTCAGCAAGCCCAGTTATTTCCTAGTGCCTGCACTATTCAAAAACCTGGGATTTTGTTTTTCCAAAGTCTGATTTTATTTTCACTCTAACATCAATCAGCACAGGGAATCAATCAGAAAGGACTCGTCCCAAGGAAGCCTCAGATACCAAGCCCAGTTCTGCCCAACCCAAGTTGATTTATCACATTCCTTAA